TTAGTGTCTATGACAGACAGAACCGAAGCCCATAATTAGTTATGTGATTATAATTGTGATAAGGTGATAAATGAGATGCATAGGAGCAGTGGCTGTATATAATGGGGGAGTGCCCCCATCTGGAGAATTTGAGCTGAGACCTAAAGGATGAGGAGTGTGTGCAGGTATGTGTGTGTGTGCATGTGTGTGTGTGCATGTGTGTGTGTGCACACACATGTGCTAAAAATGGAGGCATGGATGAGGGTGGATGGATGGATGCTTGAGTCCTCCAGGCAGTGGGAACAGGCTATGCAAAAGCTCAGAGGCCAGAGGAAGTACAGTGACTCTGTAGCTGACAAAAGACCATTGTGGAAGGTGTTTGGAGCCTGGAGAGGTGAGGAGGTAGGAGCACTGTGTACAGTGCGTGCTGAGCACTGCACTGCTCCGGGGTGCCAGTCTTGTAGACCAGGGTGTGAGAGGTGCCCGCTGGAACTGTGCAAGACGGAGGCTGCAGGCAGGGAAAAACCAATGTGAGGGTTTTCAACTTTGTTCCTAGAGCAATGGGGAGCCGTGGAAGGGCTTTAGCAGTTGGTGATGGGACTCGGGTCCACTTATAGTGCCCAAAGCAGTATAAACAAACAAGGCCCTTTGTGTCAGGACCTGGGGGAGTGGGTCTTACCTGGGCCCCGCTGCATACTCCACACCCAGTGTGCGGCGGGACGCTCACTCCTGTCCCCTCTGTTGCAGTGCGCTACTTCCTGAAGAATAAAGTCAGCCCTGATTTGTGCAACGAGGATGGACTCACAGCCCTGCACCAGGTAAGGCCGGGCTGGCAGGGGTCCCCAGCTCCCTGCTTCCCACCTGGACAGGTGCCCCATCTCCCTGCCTTTTTCTGCCCAGAACCCACAGGGAGGAGGGTGGGAAGGGGAGCCGCAGCTGCCCCATTTGAAAGGCTTTTGTCTGCTTCAGAGATGTGTGTGTCTGTTGCAGACATGCCCACAGAGCCCCTGTGCACGCTCACGCACAGCCTCTGAGGACAGGGAGCCTTTGTCCACTGCATCCTCACTTCCCAGCAAAGGGTTTGGCAAACAAAGCAAATTTGTTTGGAGTGTGACAGTTTACGAAGCATGTTTGTTCACACCCACCGTGGCATGCACCCATCCTGCTGACAAAGGTGATTGGCAGAGGGGTTTTGTGATCTGCGTAAGAGCTCTAGCCGTGAAACATCTTTTCTAGGGAGGCGTGATGGGTTCAGTCCCTCCGGCTGGGGAAGGGCTGTCGGCGGTCATCTCTTGCCTGGATGCTGCTTCAGCCTCCTAACTGGTCCCCAGCCTTTAGCTGGCCCTGCCATGATTCGTTTTTTACAGCGGCCACAGGGATGCTGAAGCCAAAAGTCTATTGGTGTTACTCAAAGCGCTCAGGTGTCTTCCTGAAAGGCCCTGGGAGGCCTGGCCCCTGATGAGCCCTCCAGCGAAATGGCTTTTTGGTTCTTTTGCACACACAGTGCTGATCCCTACCACACTTTCCCTCGTGCACTGGTTATCCCCAGCTGACACATGACTCTGAGAGCTGTGTTGTTATATACATATTCTTTTCTCCTGGGCACCCCTTTTATTTATCATTTTAGCCATTAGTGCAGTGGTTCTCAACCTCCCTAAATGCCACGACCCTTTAATACAGTTCCTCATGTTGTGGTGACCCCCAACCATAAAATTATTTTCGTTGCTACCTCATAACTGTAATTTTGTTACTGTTATGAATCGTAATGTAAATATCTGATATGCAGGATGTATTTAGGCAACCCCTGTGAAAGGGTCGTTCGACCCCCAAGTTGAGAACCGCTGCATTCGTGTGATCATTTGATATTGGTCCCCCCATCCACGCTCTGAGCCGCACAAGGGCAGAGCCCTTGTCACTTGCTCATTGATGTGTCCCAGCATCTTTCCCCATGCTGGCATTCAGTAGGTGCTCAATATGTGCATGCCAACATAGTGAATGAACACACTGATGCCTTCCTGTGCCCTGGCCCATGTTTCTGAGCAGGTGGGAGGCCAGGCTGCTGGAAGCCTGGGTTGGTGAGAGCCTTCCATCTCCCTATGAGGGCAGGAAGAGGTGGATGGACACTGACCACTGCTCTGCCCATCAGCCCCAGGAGCAAGTCTCCACCTTCATCCGTCAGCCCAGTGGCCTCCTGTGTGTCCTCTAGGCTTCTCCTCCTGTCCCTTCAGGGTGCCTCACTTTCCTCATCTGTAAAAGAGGAATAACAAGTGCCCATCTCATTGGGTTGTTATGAGGATTAAATAAAAGCCCTGTGAACATCCCTTGATACTGGATAAATATTAGATATTATTATTATTAGAATTTGCCACGTGTTCATTTCTCTGTAAGGGCACTTCACTTATGTGACGTGTGGGCTGATTCTCATCACGAACCTCTGAAATATGATCCCCATTTTACAGCTCAGGAAACTGAGGCTCAGGCACAGCACTGTGTCATAGAATTTCCCATGATGATGGAATGTTCTGCGTATCTGCAATGTCCCGTGTGGTGGCCAGCAGCAACAGCGGTTATCAAGTCCTCAAAATGCTGTTCTGAGGAAACTAGGCAAGGCATGGCCAGGGGCTAGCAAGGCGCCTGGCCCTAGTACCTCCTCAGAAACATCAGCTCTTCTTATTGATGACGTGGCCTGTTATTGCTGCTATTGCCAGGCTGTCATTATTGTTGTCGTTGTTATTGTCTCTGTTGCTCCAGTGCAACAAGGAGCACATTAGGAAAAGCTTCCCGAGCCTGCAGAGGAGTGCGCATTTGCTTCACTTGGCAACAGGGCGCCTTCACTTGGCAACTGAGAGCAACCTGCCTGGGTTAATGAGGGAGGATGTGTGGAAGGGGAGCGGCAGTTAGGCGGGGAGAGGTGGTGAAGCCTCGGCCAGGGCAGTGGGATGGGGCATCAATGAGGAGATGGGATCCACACCCGGTGGTAGATTGGGCATGGGCAGTGAGGGGGCGGAGGGCCATCCAACTGCCAGGTGCCATTTCCCACCGCGGGGAATGCAGGAGGGAAGGCCATGCTCGGCTCTGACATGCCCCCCCACCCCCCATTGCATCCCTGCGTCCAGTCCCCAACCCCAACCCCAACCCAGCGCTAGCTCAGACCAGTCTCCCAGGTTCAGGCTGCTCTAGCTCCTGGATTGCAATTCTGGGTGTACAATCCTCTCCCCCTTCAACCTGAGGCTCCTTCCCCCCATCCTCATGTTTTCTGCAGTCCCTAAGGGTGGGATCTCTGGCCCTCCTATCCCCTGACCCCAGGGGCTGGGCTGCTCCTCCTCTTGGGGACGGGGCTCCCCTGATACATCTCCCAGTGACAGCCTGGGGCTCCTCGCCTTTCCCCGCCACCTCACTCGGGTGCCTCTGGCGCCCTCTGCCGGCCGCACCGCACAACTGCATGCTTCTCCTCACCACCTGAGGATCTCCCGGCCTCACTGGGTTACCTGTGCCCCACTGTTGGGACAGATGCCCCAGACCCAGCCAACCCCACACTGGCTGGCACAAAAGGAGAACCTGGGTCTCTGGCACCATCTGTGCAAATGACTGTTTCTTTCCCACATGTTTTGGCGCTGAGCCTTGGCTCCATGAGGTGGGGGTGAGGGCTGTGGTGCTGACCCATCTCCATCCCCTTTCCCGCACCCACCTGGGGCCATGGCTCCCACAAGTGCCCCTCTCATTCTGCTGGCATCCAGTCACTTCGCCCCGTGCCTACCGTCACTTCTGTGGGCCAGGCCACCATCATCTTAATTGGGCGATTTCAACCTACCTCCTAACGTCCCTCCTCTTCCCAAAGAAGCTGCACTTGCAATCTGTTCTCCACAGGCAACCAGAGGAGGGATTTAAAAAACAAGTCTGACTGTGCTTTACTTCCAAGCATACCTCTGCCACGGCTCCCATTGCACAGAAGGCCACGCCCTCACCTGGATGGGCAGTGCTGAGCACAGTCCCCCACAGACTTCTCCTGCAGTCTGTCTTCCTCCTCTGTCCTCGCCTCTCCTGCCCATCCCCTGGCTTGAGGCCTCTCTGTCCCCTTGGAATCTTTCACTCTCTGCCTCTGGAGTTAGGGGCTCCAGTGACTGCTGGACCCCTGAGTCTATGTGAGGGCTGCAGGCTCCTGACCTTCCCTCTCTCTGATGCTGACCCACGTGTGAGCAGGCAGGGGCACAAACATGGCTGTCTCCTTGCAAGGACTATCTCAGGACCTCCCCCACCCTCCAGCCTTTAAGCTGAGCTGAGTTCTTTGGAGGGGAGGGTTGGATACTTGGGGTTTCCCCATGAATTGAGCTCCTGAGTCAGAAATTTCTAAGTCAGAGGTTTCAAACTATGATGGATCTAGGGCCACCCCTTAGAGGCCACTGCTGAGAAGGGGAACCCCCAAACTCCCCAGCTTCCTCCCCTCCCCCTGCAGCCCTGCTTAGCTCTATTGGTTATCTAAGTGTTCTCCATACAATTTCGTTGAAAGAAAGGCTTCTGGAATTAAAAAGAAAAGGTTTTTAAAAAAAATATTTTTTTATTGATTTCAGAGAGGAAGTGAGAGGGAGAGAGAGAAACATCAATGATGACAGAGAATCATTGATTGGCTGCCTCCTGCATGCCCCCTACTAAGGATGGAGCCTGCAACCTGGGCATGTGCCCTTGACCAGAATCGAACCTGGGACCCTTCAGTCTGCCAGCCGATGCTCTATCTGAGCCAAACCAGCTAGGGCTAAAAAGAAAAGGTTTTAAAGCCTCATTCAAAAATGTGTCTCATTCCACCAACACTTTCAAAGCTTTTTATAGTTGACTTTATAAAAAATATTATCTTTATATTTTTATCCTATATATTATTAACTTACAAAGAAGCGGGCTCAGAAAGATTAAGTGGCTTGCCCAAGACCACACAGCATATAATACTGGAGCTGGATTCAATCTCAGGCAGTTTGACTCTGCTGTCCTCGTGGCCTCTTGATGGGAACTGGGGGTGTCCCCACCGGGGCCTGGGCCTTGCGGCGAGCTGACCCTGCCTGTGTCCCCTTCACAGTGCTGCATCGACAACTTCGAGGAAATTGTCAAGCTGCTCCTTTCCCACGGTGCGAACGTGAACGCCAAGGACAACGAGCTGTGGACACCCCTGCATGCCGCAGCCACATGCGGCCACATCAACCTGGTGAAGATCCTCGTTCAGTAGTACGTGCCCCTCTCTTCCCCGAGAACAGCCTCCCCTCTGCCTTTGGTTTCTTCCAAGTTCTTTTACCCCCATCTCTTTCCTTCTCCCTCTTTTTCTCTCTCTGCCTCTTCCTCCGTCTCTCAGTGCCTGCCACTTCCTCTTTCTCCCTGAATCCTGGTTTCATCTCTGTGTCTCCTCCTCTCTTTGTTTCTCCCTCTCTCCTCCTCTTCTCCCAATTCCCATTTTTTCTCTCCATCTCTGTGTGCCTTTATTTTTTTCCTCTCGATCTCTGTCTCTCCTTCACTCTTGGTCTCACTCTGTCTTTTCTATTCTGTCCCTCCTCGTTATCTCTCTCTCCCTTCATTCTCTCCTCACCCCTAGATTTTATTGCAGTAAAAATACATGTGACATAAAATCTATCATTGTAACTATTTTTAAGTGTACAGTTTAGTGGCACTACGTACATTTACATTCTTGGGCAACCGTCACCACCATCCATTTTTAGAACTCATCTTCCCAAACTGAATAACTCATCTTCCCGTTAACAATAGCAGTAACCACCATCCTACTTTCTGTTCCTATTGTTTTGACTACCCTGGGTACCTCATCTAAGTGGAACTATATAGTATTTGTCTGGCTCACCAGAGCAGGAAGCTGGGGGAGGTCTGTTGGGACAACTCTCCTAGGGTTTTAGCCTCTTTGCATCTGGGGTTCCCAGGATGCTGAAGTCACTGTCCTTGCTAGGGTACACTTTGCTGGGGTGGTGGGTGCTGGATGCACAGCGGGGTAGTGGATGTGAGGCCAGAGGGCAGAGGCAGACAGACCAACCCTCACACCGACCTGGCCCTCAGCCTGGCCCTTTCTCTGCAGTGGAGCCGACCTGCTCGCTGTCAACTCCGATGGGAATATGCCGTATGATCTCTGCGAGGATGAGCCCACCCTGGATGTCATCGAGACGTGCATGGCGTACCAGGGTAAGAGTGTGGCACATGCCCTAACCGGTTTGGCTCAGTGTATAGAGGGTCGGCCTGCGGACTGAAGGGTCCCAGGTTCAATTCCGGTCAAGGGCATGTACCTTGGTTGCGGGCACATCCACAGTATGAGGTGTGCAGGAGGCAGCTGATCGATGTTTCTCTCTCATCGATGTTTCTAACTCTCTATCCCTCTCCCTTCCTCTCTGTAAAAAATCAATAAAATATATTTAAAAAAATTTTTTTTAAAAGAGTGTGGCACATGCTATCAAGTGGGCTCAGGGTAGCGTTGCAGCGAGCGTCTCTTAAACCAACGCAGATGCACACATTAGCAAGCTGCGTACTTGCCTGCTCACTCCAGTGCTCAGGAAGTGGGATGGGTCCCCGTTATTAAGATTAATATCTTGTGTGATTAACAAGATGATGACACATGCTGTGCGAAAGGGAGGCATTGTTCTCCTCTGTGTCACCCCCACACGCGGGCGGCCTCAGCTGGCCTCGTCTCCTCTTCGTCAGCTGTGACAATTCAATAAACATTCGCAATAAAGATATATTCCCACTTGGGAAAATAATAAAAAGTCAGGAACATTCGCCGGTGCCTGCCAGGCACCATGCTGGCTGCCAGGGGCCGGGTAAACAAGATGTGGGCTGTTCTCAGTCACAAATGAGCCTCAGAGAGGAAACAAATGTAGCAATCAGAGAGACCTGCCCCTGTCCCCATACGGACTCTGAGCTCCTCCTCAGAAAGGAATCTCAAACCAGACCCTGGACTGCAGCCCCGGGTCCTGTCCAGGCCCTGCCGGGTGTTTCTTCCCCGATCCCAGCAATAACCGCTGATTTGCTGTGCCCATTCCCTGGCACCCAGGCTTTAACCATTCATCTTCTGCAGAGGCACTTAACAGTTTTTGTGCCAATCTTGCGAATCTATGGACCCCTTCTCAGAATGATATCTTTAAATTCAGTTATCAGAATCATCTATAATAATAAAAGTGTAATATGCTAATTAGACTGGATGTCCTTCTGTCTTTCCAGACGAAGCTGGGGCTGCGGGGGGAGCCCAGCACCTAGGGGAAGGAAGGCCTACCCTTGCACAGATTTTGTGCATCGGGCCTCTAGTAGGATTATAAAGGAAACCAACTATATTCAAATAAAACTACCAACATATTTAAAAATGTGTTACCTACCAATTTTATTGGTTCATGAAACAATCAGATAATATGACACGCAAATACATACTGTTTCTGTTGGTGAGAACGTCACAGGCAACACTCATTCTACTGTGGGTTTTGCCTATGTTCTAATGGAAGGAAATGTTCTATTTCACTTAAAGTTTAATAAAAATAATCATGTATATTTTTCTCCTTTCCAGTTTACAGATCTCCCCTGAATCCTATCCAAGAATGTTTGATTAATGGACCTTTTTATAGAGCATGTCACTCTCTCACTAAATAACATTCGTAGCTGCCAGTAACACTTAAACATTTAGCTAGAGGTTCAGGCTTTAAAATGTCTTTCTGCGTCCCTCCACCTCAATTTATTCAACTCTCCATTTGAAAGTTATACATGGGTGGGCAAAAGTAGGTTTGCAGTTGTGAGTGTGTGAAACACAGAGTTTATTCTTATATTATTTATTATTGTATTACTTTCTTTTAAAAAATTTTTTTTATTGATTTCAGAGAGGAAGGGAGAGGGATAGAGAGATAGAAATATCAAGGATGAGAATCATATCATTGATTGGCTGCCTTCTGCACGCCCCCTACTGGGGATTAAGCCTACAACCTGGATATGTGCCCTAACCAGGGACCCTTCAGTCCACAGGCCAACACTCTATCCCCTGAGCCAAACTGGCTAGGGCTTATTGTATTACTTTCCATAAGTTTCCATAAGAACAACTGTAAACTTACTTTTGCCCACACCTGTGTAGTCATTAATTGAGTCATTCCCATAACAAAAACTCATTGATACAATCACAACTGCATGAGATGAAAAGAAACTAACAAACCCTGGTCAGACAGGGTGGTCAGGGGAGGGTATCTGGGAGCGGGTGGTCTGGGCCGGACCTAGAGAATAAGACGGAGCCAGCCATTTGATCAGTTGGAGGTAGGTATGTGGATGGTAGGAGTTTCCAGGTAGAAGAACAGCATATATAATAGTAACTGATATCATTATAGTACCTACTGGGTGCCAGGCAGGAGCGGCCTTTGTTTTATGGGCCAGCACATGTTTGTGTTCATTGGGCCTGGAACACAATGATCTATGGGCATGTCTGTCTACTTCCTTGACTAGCAGACCCTGGGGCACAGAGACCTTGCCCTCCCTATCTGCCTCTCCTCCCCTCCCCACCTTGAGGCCTAAGCCTGGGGTGCTGACCAAATCCCCCTCCCCCCGCAGGCATCACTCAAGAGAAAATCAACGAGATGCGGGCGGCTCCCGAGCAGCAGATGATTGCAGACATCCACTGTATGATCGCAGCGGGCCAGGACCTTGACTGGATCGACGCCCATGGTGCCACACTGGTAAGGACATGGGCCAGAACCAAGACCAGCCAGAGCAGAAGTGGGCCAGCATGTCGTGGAACCCACACCTCTATGGTTGGGGCCTCTGTTTCCTCCCAGCCAGTGTTCTGATGGCTTCCTTTCACCTCTATTGGCTGGGAAGTTGGTTTCTCTCTGCCTCATCTCCTTTTCGGCCCTTCATCCATTCCCATGGTGTGCTTTGTGATCACTTAGGGCTTTCTGAGAATGTTAATCACTTCCTGAGTGTTCATCATGTGCTAAGTATTTTATGTGTTTTCTTGGAGATTGAACAAAAGGGGCAACTAAGGTGCCGTCCACCATTGGAGGCCTTGAATGGTGCCGGGTAGAAGAGCTGGGGCCTTAGCATGAGGCTTTCCTTTATTGGATGTATTGGTTACTATGGCTACCCCAAAATCAGCATCTTAAAACAACATGATACATTTATCATCTCACATAGTTTTGGTGGGTCAGGGAATTGGGAACAGTTTGGCTGATGGCTCTGGCTTGGGGTCTTTTATGAGGCTGCAGTGAAGATGTCAGCCAGGGCTGCTGTCATCTGAAGGTTTGAATGGGGCTGGAAGATCCACTCCTAAGGTGGCTGGCAAGTTAGTGCTGGCTCCTGGCAGGAGGCCTCAGTTTCTCACCTCCTTGGAACTTCTCTTTAGGGCTACTTGAGTGTCCTTACAACATGATGGCTGCCTCCTCTAGAGTGATGATCCAAGAGAGTATAAGGTAGAAACAGCAACGCCTTTTATGACCTAGTCTCAGAAATCACACACTGCCCTTCACAAGATCCTATTTGTGAGAAACGAGTCACTCAATCTGGTCCACATTCGAGGGGAGAGAAATTAACTCCATCCCTTAGCAGGGGTGGGGACTGTCCAGCCCATGGGACATATAAGGGCCACAAAATCATTTGGTCTGGGCCTGCCAAGGCATTAGGGGTGAGTTAATTAAATGTTGGACCAAATACAGCTGGCTAATTTTTAAGGTGATAGGTTTGTATGGCCCTTGAACGATATTATAAACATCCAAATGATCATTGGCAGAAAAAAGGTTCCCCACCCCTGCTTTGGAAGCTGTGTCAGATAATTTGTAAACATATTTTAAAACCACCGTATTGGACCCCTGAGACCTCTTCCACAGGGCTCAGCATGTAGTAGGGACTCAGTAAACGCTGTTGCCTTAACCACAGGAGCTCTAAGACCAACCACAGGGGAGAAGAGCTCACCTCTCTGCCTTACCTTCCAGGTCCATATTGCAGATGTAATCATTCTCTGAAATATGGCTGGTATTTCTACCTCAATCTGTGCCATTCTATTGGCCCCAAGAATGATCTTAGACGTGGGTTAGGGAGAGGGCTACCCCACCTCCAAATGTGGGGCTGCCCCCCTTAGGGAATGCTCTCTTCTTTCCTCTCCTTCAGCTGCACATAGCTGGGGCCAACGGATACCTGCGAGCAGCTGAGCTCCTCCTGGACCACGGAGTGCGCGTGGATGTGAAGGACTGGGATGGCTGGGAGCCCCTGCACGCGGCTGCCTTCTGGGGACAGGTAGTTTACACCGGAGGGCTGTGAGCAAGGCCAGCACAGGATCAGCCTGCTGTCCTTGATCTAGCAGTTGGTTCAAAAGAATACACGACCTGCTTAAGGTGTTGACTACAGCTAGTGTATGGGATATGAAAAGACCTACGGAGTTTGCAAAAACATTTGATAAGCTGTAGTTTAATGGAATGATGATTAAATTTGCCAAATTAGAAAATCCCAGCCTTTCTGCTTTGAGTGGTTTCTCCATTTGTTCCCCAGATATAAAACCCTGATTGCAGTTTTTTAAATATATCTTATTGATTTTTACAGAGAGGAAGGGAAAGGGATAGAGAGTTAGAAACATCGATGAGAGAGAAACATTGACCAGCTGCCTCCTGCACACCTCCCACTGGGGGTATACCCGCAATCAAGGTACATGCCCTTGACCGGAATCGAACCTGGGACCCTTCAGTCCGCAGGCCGACGCTCTATCCACTGAGCCAAACCGGTCAGGGCTGATTGCAGTTTTTGCAGTCCCTCCCTAGACACCCGACAACTCTAGAGTTACAGCTGACTCCATTTTCTTCTGTTCCTTGGTCCAGGCATAGTGCTGACTCCGTTTTCTTCTGTTCCTTGGTCCAGGCATAGTGGAGGTGGTGTCAGTCCATTGTACCCCAGGATTCCTGGCCCCAGGGTTCAAAGCCTTCCTGGGGAGTCAACTTTGCCCCACCATTCTTTGGGTCACATCCCAAGAGGCCTTGGAAACTCTTTCCACCTCCTAGGCCTCTTGGGCCCTGGGCAGTGGGAACATGGGCTTCTTCCTGTGTTTCAGATGCAAATGGCAGAGCTATTGGTGTCCCATGGGGCCAGTCTCAGTGCTAGGACATCCATGGATGAAATGCCAATAGGTAAGTCCAGCACAACACCTGGTACACACATAGGCTCGCATAAACTTTTTGATAGGTAGAGGGATAAATGGATGAATATATGGTTGGACGGATGCTGGACTGGTGTGTAGATTGATGAATTAATAAAGTAATGGATGATAGATTAATGGATAAATGGACAGAGAGATGGGTGGATGGATAGATAAATGTATGGCAAAGTGGATGAATGTATGGATGAAGTAGGAAATATAGATGGATGGATAAGAGGATGGATAGATAGAGGACAAACCTATGGATGGATGACTGGGACACTGAAGAGGTAAATAGATGAGTGAAAGAATTAGGTGGTGGGGATATATGATTTCAGCTTCTTTGCATAACTTCTTGTTTGGGCTACATGGTACCTGCTTGTTTCTATTGATACTTCTTGTGTCAGTGGAGAGCTGATAAATCCTATTGGAAACTATCAAAGGTGTATGACTCCTTCAGTCATGACTGGGGACCTCAGGAGTTGTGACTGTGTATGGAACCTGGGTTTCCCTTTCGTAGTCTTCTCTAAGGATTGGGTTGTAGCCCGGGAAATAAGGGTGGCATCGTTTTCTCCCCTCCCTGCATGCCCCAAAGGATGCTGGGAGTTTTCATTCGGTTGGGAGGGCAGCTCCTCTGGTCTGGAGAGCTCCCAGGGGCCACAGGCTGCCTCCCACAACAGACGCCTCTGCTCTTTCAGACCTGTGTGAGGAAGAAGAGTTCAAGGTCCTGCTGCTGGAGCTAAAACACAAGCACGATGTGATCATGAAGTCACAGCTGAGGCACAAGTCGTCCTTGAGCCGGAGAACGTCCAGCACAGGCAGCCGTGGGTGAGTCAGGGGCCAGGCAGCTAGGGGTCCCCATGCCTCTCCTGCCTGTAGTGCCTCGATGCAGCCTCCAGTACCCCCTCTCTCCCTTCAGGAAGGTGGTGCGTCGAGCCAGCCTGTCGGATAGGACGAACCTGTACAGGAAGGAGTATGAGGGCGAGGCCATCCTGTGGCAGCAGCGGAGTGTGGCAGAGGATCAGCGGACCTCAACTTACAATGGGGACATCAGGGAGACCAGGACAGACCAGGAGAATAAGGACCCAGTGAGTGGCCTCATACCCTGCCCCAGTGTCAGCCACTGCCTTGGGAGGAGGACCAGGCCCCTCCCTGGTCTGGTCTCTTCATCTGAGAGCCTTCAGAAGGAGGTTACCTAGGCAGGCCCTTAGACCAGCTAGATCCAGTCTGATGGTGGTGGCTACTGTGGTTAATGAGGCAAGCCTAGGGTGTGTTTGAGTCAGCGCTGGGAGCTTTGGCACCCATTAGGTTCTCATAATTGACAGGGAGTGAGTGACCACCATGTGCCTGCTCGTGCTCCGGCAGATCTAATCTGTGCTTCCCAGAAAAGAGATTCGGTAGGGCAGCTACCCTGGGAGCTAAGGACACGGAAACTTCCAGGGTGGAGGGGATATAACAAGAAGTTGAGAACTGTGTTTACCAGAACACATCTGATTGAAAGAAATTTTTTGAAAAACAGTAGGGTACTGGTAGGACCTCTAAGCAGCCTGCCCCAGTGGCAGCCAAGGCCCTGGGCTTGAGACAGCTTTCCTAAGAAGATGCTCTATTGGTGTCTAGGACTGCTGTGACAAACTGCTGCAAACTTGGAGCTTAAAACAGCAGACCTTTCTTTTCTCACAGCTCTGGGAGCTAGAAGTCTAAAAAGCAAGGTGCCATCCTCTCCATGTCTCTCTCCCAGCTTCTGATGGCTCAGGCATTCCTTGGCTTTTGCTAGCATGGCTCCAAACTCTGCCTCGGTCCTCACATGGCCTTCCTCATGTGTGTGTGTCTGTGTCTCTGTTTTCTCTTATTAGAAAGATACTAGTCATTGGATTGGGGCTCACCCTAATCCAGTGGGACCTCATCTTAATCTAACTAATTCCTCCTGCAAAGATCCTACTTCCAAAGAAGGTCACACTCAGAGATGTGGGATTGGCATTAATTTGGGGGGACACTATTCAACTCAGTATTGATGCTCTCAGGTCCATGCCTGGCTGTGTCTGCTGAGTGAGGCCAAGGTTGGGGCCAGAGCAGAATTGCTGGGGACAGGAAGGGAGAGGTTGGTTCCACCACACATTGAGCAACTGAAAGCATTTCTAGAGAGTATTGCCTTGGAGGGATGCAAGGTCTGCTGATGAGTTGCATAGTGTGTACACACGTCTCAATGGGACCCTGCTTCCCCAGTGAATGGGGAGGTCACATGTGGGCTGGTCTCACCAGCAGGAGTGATGGCATCTGTGTAAGGGAATCCCCATCAAAGTGGCGGGCTGGGATGGAGAGAGCAACATGGAGGCTTTGTTCCATCTGGTCCCCAAGCCTGTGGGTTGGGGAGAAAAGAGTTGTAGACAGAAATCAAATCACATTTCAGATGCCTTATTTTTATGTTTGTATTTCTTGGAGATCCCTGGAATCCTAAGCCAGTACATGGGGACTGCCTCAATTCTTAGCTGCAGAATATTCCAGTACAAGGACATGCCATAATTCTCCACCTGCCTAATGATGACTTTCAGGCTTTGTTCTCCTGGGGAGTGTATCTGGAAAACAAAGTCCTGGAAATGGGCTTGCTGCAAAGTATTCTTCTTTAAAAACAAATTTTTTTAGATGATGTGATTGATATTGACTTCCAAAGAGACTGTGGCAGTTTACATGCCTAGTAGCTATTTCCCCACACCCTTGCCAGCACTGAGTAAGAACAAACTTTAAAGACACTTGTCAATGTGATTGGTAAAACTTGTGTTGTTTTAATTTTTATGTCATTAATTATTAGTGAGATTGAATATTTTTATTTTTTTCCTGTATTTACAGGCTATATTTTGCTGTGAACTGTATATTAGTGTCCCTTGTTGATTTTTTTCTTTTGTGCAGTAGAACCTTTATAAGTGGACTTTTAAGAGCTCTTTATTTATTTGGGAAATTATTCCCTTTTTGGTCATATATGTTGCAAATATCATTTCAGTTTTGTCATGCATCTTTTGATTTTTTATGGTGATTTTTTAAAAGTTTTGCTTTCTTCTTTTTTTAAATTTTTAAATTGATTTCAGAGAGAGAAAGGGAGAGGGAGAGAGAGCTAGACACACCAATGATGAGAGAGAATCATTGATTGGCTGCCTCCTGCATACCCCCTACCAGGATTACCTGGTTCATGTGTCAATGCTCAACCACTGAGCAACACCAGCTGGGCTGTTTATGGTGATTTTTGCTAGGCTTTACATTTTCATTATTGTCAAATATATCAACCCTTTCATTTATAGCTTCTAGGCAGCTGTAGTTATGCAGGGATTTCTGGGTGTAAAGGACCTCTGGGTAGGAATCTCTGCTGTTTCGAGTGGAGATATGCTGGGAATACAGAGGAAAGATTGCAAGTGACCAAAACCCCAATTGAAGTCAACTCACACGAAAAAGGAATTTACAGGCTCTTGTAACTGGAAAGTCTTGGCCCAGCTGGATCCAGGGGCTCAAAACACATCATCAGGATAAATTCTCTCTCCTTCAGTCTTCCTTCACATCAGCCCTTTGACATGGTGTCTCCCCAGCCCCCAACTTGTATCATTCTCACCACCCGCAATTGCTATAAAAACAGAACTTCTCTTTCCCAATCATTCTAGCAAAAGTCCCAGGGTTGAGTTTCATTAAATCAGTTTCAGTCAAGAACCCATCCCTGAACCAATTCCTGTGGTGAATGTGTTGACCATCCAGGCCTGGGGTCAAGGATGGAGGTTGGTCAGCTCTCCTAAAACACATTGATTGGTGAGTCCCCCAAAGCAAAAAGGACGTCCTATTACCCAGGTAGGGAAAATGGGTGGAGGACAGGTCCAGACAATAATGCCCTCAGCAGAGGTGCAGGTGGGTTGTGGGTTCAGAGCCTCCTGCCAGCTGGTAACATCGTTCCTTCCCCCTCAGAACCCCCGGCTGGAGAAGCCCGTGCTGCTCTCTGAGTTCTCCACCAAGATCCCACGAAGTGAAATGGACATGCCTGTTGAGAATGGCCTCCGGGCTCCGGTCAGCGCCTACCAGTATGCACTGTCCAACGGGGATGTCTGGAAAGTGCACGAGGTGCCCGACTATACCATGGTCTACAGCAGCCCCAGCATGGCTGATGCCACCCCACCCTGGAGTGGCTACAAGGAGCAGAGCCCCCAGACGCTTCTGGAGCTAAAGCGGCATCGGGCTGCAGCCAAGCTGCTCAGCCACCCCTTCCTGAGCACCCACCTGGGCAGCAGCATGGCCAGGACGGGTGAGAGCAGCAGTGAAGGCAAGGCCCCCTTGATCGGAGGCAGAACTTCACCATACAGCAGCAATGGGACCTCGGTATATTACACGGTCACCAGCGGAGACCCCCCCCTCTTGAAGTTCAAGGCCCCCATTGAGGAGATGGAAGAGAAGGTCCATGGCTGCTGCCGCATCTCCTAGTCTCCCTGTGACAGAGGAGAGAGATGCTTTGGGGAGGGGTCCCTGGAATCCAGGCCAGCCCTGGCTGGGAGGCTTCAGAGGGCAGCTGGGGGGAGATGGGCTCTGCTTTCCAGAGGAATGCTGACCCCACCTCGCAGCCAGCTGCCCGTAGCATCACCCCTTCCCACGGTCTGCTTCCTGCTGCATTGTCTGCCATCAGAAACAAGGCCCCTAGCGGCTTCCCGACTCACCCTGCTGTCTGATTTGGGGGAGGGAGGGCTGGGATTCCAGTTCTGTTATTGATAGAGGCTTCTTTGGACCAGTACTCGCATGTCACATATCAACACACACACACACACACACACACACACACACACACACTTCATCAACATGTATACAAATGACAACTGGGCTCATGGGAAGCAGGTGGAACAGAGAATTTGTGAGCTATTCCTGAGAGAATGATTGAGGTTAAGACTCAGTGTTTTATCACCACTGCCAATGTGGCTTTAGCAGGGGAGGGGGCCTGCTAAGCTGAGACCCATCGTCCTGCCCAGAGTCCTGTTGGGATCTGGGCCACCATCCACATCTGACAGGAGCAGGAAGTCCGCTCTGTGCCCAGAGGAAGCCATGAACCCACATGGGTAGATGAAATGGACACAGAACTGCTCCCACATCCTTGCCCATGCCAGGAACTAGTTGTGTGAACGCCTAGGGGCCAAGGTGGAAAACCAGGCTATTCTATTCCCGGAATATTCCAGATCACATTTTGTTTTTGTATGAAAGCATCAAAAAGTGGAGGGGGTAACAAAGGCAGTATTTCCAAAAGTGAGTTTCATAAAAGGACTATTTAAGGCTGTAAAACTCTAGGCAGGAGGTAACTGCATTTGGCTGCTTTTATGGAGAATGTTATGATCATTAGGTTTTACTGGCTTTTGTTGGGAAAATGAACTTAGTGAGGAGCTTCAGTTGGAAGGGCTTTTCCAAGGAGAGGGGTGAGTTCATGTTGGCAGTTTCTCAGCCAGCCCTCATCAGACTGAGCCATCAGAGTGAACAGCGAGGGGCTGCTGCCTGCCACCCCTTCCCCACTCCTAGAGTGAATGCTCAGGATCCCAGGCCCCGCTTTGCCAGTTGGCCCTGTGAGTTCCTGCCTGGCCCAGGGACTCCCAGCCTGTCCCTGCTGGAGTGGTGACACCCCAGGGCTGCAAATCCACAGTGCCCATGGCCAACACCCTGATCTGCATTCAGGAGAGAGTGATGGTGAGGAGGTTGGTCACAAGCCTGTTCCATGCCAGGAGCCAGCCATGTGACCACCCATTCAATTCACCGGTGGGGCAGGCTGCCCGTCACCTCTCCACTGCATTCTCTCATGAGCCCCTTTAAATTGTCGCCCATGAGTTGGGCACTATCCACTGGCTCAGCTAAAACCCATTGGTGTCACTAATGAGCAGGTTTGTTCCCTGCTCTGTGCACCTTTTATTTGTCCTAAAACTACCTCCTTAGAGCTCTGAAGGTGCCCCCTAGATCCAGATTCTGCAATTTGGGGGACAAATCTGGGTTCCCTTTAACTTTCTCCTTTCTGAGCCTATGAAAACTTCTCTCTGGGGGCACCTGGGCCAGGAGGCTGTGTGGCTGGAGAAGTTCCCTTTGTGCCACAGCTTTAGTAATGGGTCTGCTGTTTGTAAGTTCTAGTCCCCACTGTGGTCCCCGCCCACTCCCCTAACCCAGAGAGGGAGCTGGCTCCCAGGGGGCCTGGCTGATGCTTTCCCAGGAGTAGGGCAGCTGGGCAGGAGAGCACAGGGCTCAGGAGAGCCATTGTACCCCTGGTGGCTCTTGTATGCAGGGAGGGTCACAGCACCAGGCCCCCTACCCCAACTCCAGGACAGTTCCAGTCTTGGGTGGAGGGGCAGGTCAGGAGACTGCAGGCGTTTGTGTGATGCCTCCTATGTCCCTGAGGTCTGGAGTGGGCTCTCCATCATCTCAGCCTATGGCCGGAGCAGGGCAGGGATATACCTTAAAACAGTGTTCAGATCAGACTAACACTGAAATTCCTTTTGAGCCAACTTAAGCTGTAAGCTGGGGAGTGCCGAGAGAAGCCACATACTCCTCCAGAGAGAGCTGGGCAGGTTTTTGGATCTGTTTGCTCAGGGCACAGAGACTGGAGCCATTTATTGCCCACTCTAAGCCCTCTGGCCATTCCCTCCTCCCCCCTTGCTTCCTGCCTCCTGGGCTGCTCCTCTCTTCCCAGAAGGCTGGGAATCCCACTGATTCCCCAACAGGAGACAACTAAAGACTCTTGAGCACAAGCTCATATTTTCAATCAGGGATAAACCATTCCCTGTTGGGGCTTCCAAGTACCTGGGGTACTTTTCCTGTAGGTCTCTTGGGTGTTGAAGGACAAGCTGGGGCCAAGGTCATCCATTTATTCACTCATGTAGTTTATTGAGTAGTTGTGACATACCAGGCACTATGTTAGGTTCTGGGAGTGAAGGAGGGACAAGATAGAATGAGGAGACTGCTCTTTATGGTTTTCAACCCTCGAGGACCATGGGTGTCAGCAGCAGCCCATTCAATTAATCTGAGATAGAGTGACTGCATCCTGGTCCAATATGCCTAGATGACATTTGCCACTAAATGCAGACGCTGGATCTTGGGTTCCAGGAAGACACCATCCCAAGTCTATATGGAGCTCTCAGGGTTCCTAGCTGCCTTCAGGCCAACATCTTTGAGGCACTATATAATAGCAGTTTGAGGTCAGTGTCTAGAAGAATAAGGATTCTGGAATTTGCTGCCAAATGCATCTCAGGTTTTAAAACTCATTGTCTCTTACTCATTTTTGCTATTTATTATGTAATCTTCCTGCTCCACCAATGGATAATGGGAAGAAAAAGAGCTTCTCCTTTAACATCGAAGCTTTTCCTCGTGAATTGCCTCTCTTTTGGGCCAGTGTGGATCAAGGAGCTGGAAGAATGCTGGCAAGGTTGACCAGATGCCCAGCTCTTGCTGAGATCCAGGTCTAGTGGCAGCTCCTGGCAGATTGAAGGAGGCTACTTCTAGAGCAGGTGCCACGTGGCTCACTGTGAGCTCTGGCCCTTGCTCTCACCCCACCCTAAGCCCCCAGACTATTGAAAATTGGTGAGTTTTTGGCCAGTAACTCAGGGAAGCTGAATGAACCCTAGACTCAAGTCTACTAAAGACTTCAGGATGTAGTTCTCCATCAGATATGCAGCATCAATGAAACTGCTCTGCACTGTTTGATCAACTTAAATGGGTTTAGAAAGTTAACAAGGGTATGTCCCCTGTCCTATCTCACCACAGTTTGTTGGCTTTGTAGTAACTTAAGACTATTTGGGTTCTTGGTGTCAGATACTTTTTGATCTTGAGCTCTCTCTTCCATTTGCTTTCCCAGAAGGCGCTCCTTGTAAGATGCTCAGAAGGACTATATTTAACTCTGGCTATTGTAGCCTGGGGACAGCCTCCCCACCCCCAGGGCACATAAGAGCAAAGGGTCATGTGGTCAGTGGATAACTCATAGAAGTGATCCCTTTGCTAAAAGCTATAGCCCTCTCCTTGATAGGAATCTCTTGCTGGCCAGTTGGCCAGAGGACCTGCTTCCCATGGGCATGCAAGTGCCATAGTGCGGGGCCTGGCTCTGCACACCCAGGAAATGTCTGAAGATCCCCAGCCCTCCGCAATAATTCACCAGACCAGAAGCCACTGATGTACAGAGAACAATTAAGAAAAATGTATTTTATGTGAAAAAAAAGTTAAAACTCTGTATACTGTATCAGCAGCTTTGTGTAAAAAATGGCAATCAAGAGAGTCTAATATATTTAAAACTTTTTTTAAAAAAAAATCCTCAAGGATCTTTGATATTGTATTGAAGTAACTTTCAGGTAGCTCCTCACCATCCGGCAGTGGTGGGCCTCGTGTCCAAGACCATGGCCCAACCACATCCCAAAGGGGCATGCCCCTGGAGTTGCTTCCAGCTGCCAAGGCCTGCGACGGAATTTGCTGTTGAGTTTTTAATTAAGATTATTAAATTCCTTTTAATAACATCTGTAAGTGTGGCTGTGGTCATTGTTGTGAGCTCTCTTGAACTGTGCTGAGTTGAATTCACAAAGAGGTGATGCCTGGGATAGAAAGTGGGGAATCCCTGCCCCCCACCACAGAAGACTCTGCCAGGAGGCCCCTAAAGCAGAGGGAGCTCTGAGGTCTCAGACATGGAGATGTCTTTCTAGACTGGGGGATGGTAAAACCTGGTGAATTCAAGACAAGGTAGATGATTGGGAATGACCTTCACTCTGTCAATGCTCCCTTTGGAATTAACATTGGTTACACTTTCAAAGGTTTGTCTGATGACATATTTTTATGTAGCAGGGCTGCCCTCTGTTCTGTTCTTGGGAGTGCACTATCCTCTTCCCCACCTCCCACCCCAGTCCTTTTCCTCACATAGCTGATAGTGAGGAGGTAAAATGCTATATACTACTTCACATTACAACAGCACAGCAGGTGAGACCCTGGTTATTCTTACTTTTCCCTCAGGCAATAGAGGCATTGACAAGTTATATGGTTGCACAGTCCCAGACCATGGACCTTGACTTTGTCATTTGCAGGCATGTGTTGGTATCTCAGAAGACAATGGAAAGAGTGCTTTCTTGGACCCTTCTGCACACAGGATGGCAGAGCAGGACACATGGAAGGCCCCACACTTGGGCTTGGAAAGCTTCATAAACAGGTTGGGGGGGGGAGGGGAGGATGGGAAGAACAGAGGTATCTGCCACAATGGGCATTCATCTAGTTTAAAAGTTTATTGGTTTCTAAATAACAATGGTAACCTGTGACACTTAGGAAGCACTTTACAGTTGTACATATGCCCTCTTATTTACACATGGAAAATGAGGCCTAAAAATTGACTATTGGATTTAGCACTGTGGAGTTCTTGATGACCTAGACAAGAGGTTTTGGTAGCGTAAAGGAGGCCTAAGCTTGATTGGACAGGGTTCAAGAAAGAATGGGAGGAAAACTGGAGACAGCGAATATACACAATTCTTTTGAGGTTTCATGTTATCAAAATGAGCAGAGAAATGGGGAGGAAGAAATGTAGTGGCATCGAGAGAGGGTTGTTTTAAGATGAAAAATATTTCAGCATGTTTGAATGCTGATAGGAATGAACCAGTAAAGAAGGGAAATGGATGATCCCGGAGAGGAGAGAATTGTTGGAGAGATACAGGTTAGTAGTTGAGGGGCTGGCAGGTAGGGCCCAAATGGAGGGGACTGTTGATCAATAGTAGCAGAAGGCCCAGTATGTAGGGAGAGAGGAGAGGACGTGATTAGAGCATGTGCAAGTTCTCTCTGATCGCTTCTATTTTCTCAGTGAAATAGGAAGCAAACTTTAAGAATAAGAGAGAGGAAAAGGTAGAATGAATGAAGGGGATGTAGGCTAACAGGCACTTGAGATAATAAATTTAAAGCACAATTAGCCAACCTGCACAACTAGGTGCAGGTGGAAAGTAGGTGGAGAGTGGGGTTGGAGTTTTGCCAGGCAAAAACACGATGAAGTGAGAGAAGAGAAAGCTACCTAAGGGTGTAATCAAAGGAGGGGTATGACGATAGACCGCCATTTTCGAATGAATGATTAAATGCAGGAGACATGGCTGGTCACGCCCAAGCTCTGAGAACCCAGGAGCACCGCGGTCAGTGTCCCTGGGGAGCAGGCGCCTGCCTCCCCAAGCGCCTAGGTCTGATCGCGCCCGGCATTGAACGGAGGGGCCGGCAGGGGGCGCGCTAGGACGGCAGGGGCCGGGCTCTCCGGCTTCAGTTCGGGCTCCGCTGCCTGGGCCACCACCCGGGCCCCCGCGGCCATCGGGCCTGTTGCTCCTTCAGCTGACCGTGAAGAGGTCCGCGCTCCGCGGGGCCCGAGCAGGAACGACTACCCTGGAGCAGGACAGAGTCGCCAAAATCAAGTTCCATGAAGCAACCCCAGAACGAGAGCAGAGCTGGACCTCTGCCCGGGAGGAGGGGCGGGGCGGGGCCGGGCCGCGGGGCAGCCAATGCACGTCAAGGGGCGGGCCGTAGCGGCGGGCACTGCGTCCGAACGCCACCGTTAGGAGGAAACAGCCAATGGGAAAGCCGGGGCGGGGCGGCGCGGCCAATGGCGCGGGCCGGTTTGATTCAAAGGGGCTATAAAAAGGCCTGCCCGTCCTCTACCTTCCGAGCTCCGTAGGGCCTGAGCGCTGCCATGGCTTTGTTGCTGGAGGGACTGGACGAGCTGCCCGCCGCCTGCCTGTCGCCGTGCGGGCCGCCCAACCTGGCCGAGCTGTACAGCGAAACGCAGCGCCTGGCGCTCGAGGAGCTGGTGGCGGGCGGCCCCGACGCCTTCGCCGCCTTCCTGCGCCAGGAGCGCCTGGGTCGCTTCCTGAACCCCGACGAGGTGCGCTCCATTCTGCGCACGGCCGAGCGGCCCCGCGAGGAGGGCGCGGCGGCGGAGGCCGAGGACTCCTTCGGCTCGTCACACGACTGCTCGTCCGGGACCTACTTCCCCGAGCAGTCGGACCTGGAGCCGCCGCTGCTGGAGCTCGGCTGGCCGGCCTTCTACCAGGGCGCCTACCGCGGCGCCACGCGCGTCGAGGCGCACTTCCAGCCCCGCGGCGCGGCGCCGGCGGCCCTTACGGCTGCAAGGACGCGCTGCGCCAGCAGCTCCGCTCGGCGCGGGAGGTGAGTGGGCCGGACCGGAGACCCTCTTCAAGCATGGAAAACGGAGGCCTCTCGGGAGCGCCGGGCCCCACCCTGTGTATCACCCCTCGAATTCCTGATCTCCTGGCCCCTCCTCGTGGTTGGGGAGAGTGGGAGGAGTCTCGGTCGCCCAGAGCCAAATTATGCCTGAGTTCCAGCTCCTAACATTCACATCTCCTGGGAAAGGGGACCAGACAGGCCTCCATTTTCAAATTTTAGTTAAACCACACCAGATGGCCAACTTTCCTGGCTGTCAGCCAACACTCGATCCCACTTTCAGGGGCTTCTTAGGAGTTGCTTTACCTAGGGAAAAGTTCCTGAAAGATGGTCCCCAGGGACAACTGTGGGCCATTAGGAATCTACTATTGCTAGTCACCTCCACCTGTCTGATGTTGCAGAAAGCAAATGCAGACAACAGCGGCAGTACCTACAGAGCGTGGAGCAAGTTGCTCCCTCTGTGAATGGGTGGGGCAGGGGGTTGCTCTTTCACAGGCTGGATGATGCCCCAGTTAGCAGTGGCTTCCTAAAATGCAGACCCCCAGCATTAGGTCGACTCACAGCGGTTTTGGTGCGATTGTCGGACTCTTAGTGTGACATGGTATTGGGGTGCAGTGGGAGGGAGGTCTTGTCTCACCAGCCAGGATGGAACTGCAGCAGGGTGCTTGGTACCTGGCAGTCAGGGAGGAAGAATGCAGCACACAAGGTGGGTAGTCTCGGTCAGGAACCTGGCAGTAAAGCACTGACTAGGTTGCGGGCACATCCCCAGTAGGGGGTGTGCAGGAGGCAGCTAATCGATGTTTCTCTCTCATCAATGTTTCTAACTCTCTATCCCTTTCCCTTCCTCTCTGTAAAAAATCAATAAAATACATATATTAAAAAAAGATAGAAAAAGGCTTGATTGTGCGGTTGGTGTGCATTCCCAAAGCTTACCTCCAGGATGAGAACCTGGGCACTTGGGACTTGAGAAAAGGAACGAACAGGCCTCCATAAAGGAGAGAGATTGCCCTAGCCTGTTGCCCAGCTTTAATTTTTAGTGGTAGTGAAGGGGCACTGGAGCTAATGCCAGAGGGAAAACTGTCTGTAAACTCTTAGGCTGGCTTCAGAAGGGGCTTGAGGCTGGTGCTCAGGCTCCGCTGTGCCCTGGGGCATTCTGTAATGCTGACATTCCTGGGTGGAACCTCCTGTTCCATTCTGTGCCCGAATCCAGCCACACACTAAAATCTTTAAGATTCTGAATTTGGAACCTGGGTGATTTTTAACTGATAACTGGCACATTACCTTTAAATTGGATAAGTATTTCCAGTGTCTCTCCCATGTGCCCACTACTTGCTTTTTTCAGTGTCTGCTGTGTATCGGACACTGTGTCAGGGGCTGGGGCCACGGGTGGAGGGCATGATCCTTGCCTGCACTTGAGAGTGACATTCTGCTGGTGGGAAGCAGTGAGGCTGCTGCAGGTAGTCGGGAGGGCTGAGAAAGAAAGCCTTCTCAGGAGTGGGGTGACCTTGGAGCTGCATCCCCGAGGATGGGTGATGGGGCTTCCAGGCCAGAGGGCAGGGACTGCCCAGAAGCATGAAAAGGACCTGTCATGTTTGGGAGGCAGCCAAGTTCCTTACAGCTGGAGCAGAAAGTATGTGAGGGTTAGTGGTGGGAGAGGAGGCTGGAGGGGGGCATGGGCCAGACCATCAGGCTTTGCACACTACTTGAAGGAGCATTGGGGAGCCCTTGAAGGTTTAGAGGGAGGAGAGGAGCATGATCAGTTTGGTGTTCCTGCAGTAGGTGGGTACGTTAGAGAGGGGTGAGACTGGTATCCAGGATGGTTGTAAGGAAGGGACCAGCGGGATCTATGTGTTAGAACAGTTGTTCTCAACCTTCCTAATGCCTCGACCCTTTAATACAGTTCCTCATGTGGTGACCCCCAACCATAAAATTATTTTCGTTGCTATTTCATAACTGTCATTTTGCTACTGTTATGAATCGTAATGTAAATATCTGATATGCAGGATGTATTTTCATTGTTACAAATTGAACATAATTAAAGCATAGTGATTAATCACAAAAACAATATGTAATTATATATGTGTTTTCCGATGGTCTTAGGCGACCCCTGTGAAAGGGTCATTCGACCCCCAAAGGGGTCTCGACCCACAGGTTGGCGACCCACAGGTTGAGAACCGCTGTGTTAGAAGAAGGTCTGTGCTAATAATAAGGCAGTGCTGCAGCAGGGAGGTGAATTTTAGGTAGAATTTTTAGGACTTGGTAGTGAGGGAGGGGGCAGGAGAATAGGCAAAGCCAAGGAGAAGAAGGTATAGAAAGAGTTGAGGAT